GTGTTTCACTGTCTCCCCATAAGAAGTTAACATTAATAAGCATTATTATTGTTGCCCCACCAAGTTCCTGGTTGCATTTTACCAAAAGCCACAGGTACGGATGCTGGCTTTCCCTTTAGCTGCAGTTGTGATCTGTGGAGGTGTGAAGCTGGGAGGCCCAGCCAGTGGCCTCGTTTGCTGGAGAGGCCTTCGGGATCCTGCCCTTCATCCTCAAGCTCGGCAGCTCCAGGAGAATGGCACTTCAGAGGAGCTCCATTCATTTGGAATAGAAGCTGCCTCTGGTCTTGAGCTGTACTGTACGTCCTGTCCAGCACGTTGTGTGGTTGTGAGAGGCAGAGAAAGGAGAGGAGGCTGTCTCCCTTTTCTGAAGTGGACTTACAAAGTAATTCGTTTCAGTTCTGCTTTTAGATCTGCGAGGTTGTCACCTCTCTCTGAGAGGAATGTATTTGAGTTGTGAGGAGGGAGCATTATCTATGAGGAGAGCAAATTTCACTGCTCTTGCATCTCATGGGGATGTATACAGAGGAGAATGAATGTTTGTCCTGAAGCTGCCATGTGATACCGCTCTCAGCTAATAATAAACAGAGAACGCAGCAGTGTCTAGAATAGAGAGAGCTCCAAACAGCGTTAAATAAATGATTTACCATCCTTCTTATTTCTTCCCTGAAGGCACAAGATTGCATATTATTTAGAATATATTATTTAATGTTAAGAATATAGGAGCCATTTCCACTGTAATGTGCCAAGACATGTTTGTTAAATACACGCCTTCTGTCAAATATAAACAGACGTGATCTCTTTGCAGTGCTGTTGCTAGCACTTCTACCTCGGTTTTCATTTGAGGAGCTCTGTTCTTAAAGCCTCACAAACGCACAGCAGAGTAGTCAGAGTAAGTAGGATCTCTCCCATACGAATGTGCTCTTTGTGGCACGAGGGCACGAAGGATGCCAGTGCTGTGTAAGGTCTGAGCCGAAGTCTGTGGATGTCCTGAAGAAAATTGCTTTGATGTCAGCAGCCTTTGGATTAGCTGCGTAGCAAATCGAAAGGAAAGTCTGGGTACACAAGCCTCCTAGTGCTTTTTCTAGGCTTGCTAATATTAGGCTGTGCCCACGGATCCTTGAATTTCTGCTTTAGTTAGCCTTGGCTTAGTTAGGCTCCTCGGCCACCAGTTTGATTTTGTGCTCCATTTTACGCTAGGCTTTCTCCGTGGCTCTCCTAGCTGGTGCTTCCTGGTTTTGGCTGGGGTGGAAAAGGAAATAATGCGAGAGACAGTCTTTGCAGCCCGTTTCACACCCGCCGATATCAGGAAGGGCTGGAAGTAGCACGAGGGAGCTCATTCTCACGCTATTTCCTGCTGCCGGCCGTGCCGGCTTTTCTGCTGCCGCCTGCCATTTCGGGGAAGGAGAAAGCATGGGGAGGCGGCTGGTGTAGGTGCAGAGTCACGTTTCTCGAACTTCAGCACCAGCAGAGCCACTCCAATAACTTGAAACTGTGCCAGGCTGCTCCAGAAGAGTTTTATGAGAAGTATTTTTAAGATGTTTGTTTTTAAAATACTTATCAAAGAAAGGGAGGGAGTGCAGCTATTAGCCGACTGCCGTGCAGGGCTGCTAAAGGATCAGCAGATGTGGACGCACTGTTTTTTTAATCTCTAATTTGTTATGGGTTGTAAATTCTTT